CATAATATCAATAACAATGTGGGTAACTTGGGGTATACTTTCGCATCCTTCCTTATTTACTTTTGAAAACAATTTTGAAAATCAGTTTAAAAACTGTTGCAGTTCCCTAGTTTGAGTCTCGATTCACACAAATGTTCATCCAATTCTCTCAAACCAAGGCTCTGATACGAACTTGTAACACTTCGAAATCAAAAAAATTTGAAAATTTAAAAATCAACAATTTAACATAATTGTTTACAAAAGAGTCATTGTTTCCAAAAACATTATTTCCAAAATCAGAGTTTTTCCAAGACCCAGTGACATAAAACAGGAAGTTGTGCACAATCACACTTTTGCTTTTCCAATATTCCCCTGAAGTCCCTGAAACCATAAACTAAAACTGTAAGCCAAAGCATAGTGAGTTCTCCCAAAGTACCAACTGTAGCGCTTCTTATGAGTATGTTTCCTTTTGCCCATTATATTTAATTTATTACAATTTAGTCCTTGGAGTTGGAACGTGGGGTGTATCATTGGGTACGTTTAGCGTACTAGCTGAGAAGCTAGTACCTGGGCGTACCACATGATACGCTTAGCGTACTAAGGAGGGCACCTGATCGAGAAGTAGAAGCCTCGCATGTTGGGCGTACGAGGGTTACACTTGGCGTACATGGAGGATAAGAAAACACTATTTTGGGGTGTTGCACCCTATTTAAGGTCCTTAAGTCCCTAGTGTTAGCCTCTTCACCAGCCTCCATACCTCCTAAACCTTAAATTTCGACCCTTAGCCTCCATTGTTGTGTCTTTGAGGGTTTGAGAAGAAATTGGTGCTTATTTTGCTCATTTTGAAGGGATTGAAGAAGATTGAAGGTGCATTGCTTACTGTGAAGCTTAGAGATCCAGAATCATCGCTCATTTTGCAAGTCCTTTGAGGAATAAAGTTCGGACCTTGTCTTCTCCTTGCTTAGATCTCTTTATGACATGGTTTTTACGCTTTTGGTCTTGGGTTAGTTTGATGGGGAGACTGTTGTTTCTCGATTTTCGATTTATGACGAACGACTAATTGAACAAATCAAATCAGTCCAGGCTTGGCCAAACACTTAGGGGTGTCATCACTAAATCATCGAGGGGCACATGGGATAAAAGGAACGGATAAACTTCGACCCAAATGCTTGCTTGTACTTATTCATCAAATTACACACAACCATATGTTTTATAACATCCAAGGTACTGGTGCGTTTACATATGTCAATGTGCAACCGACTTGCGACTACAACTCACATGTCTCCGTTTGAAGAATATAAGATATTATCGTCTCATAATCACTCGTGATAAAATCCTTGAAGTGATTCAGATGAGCGTGGATCTGAAGGGTTTTGGTATACTACAACATCCTATGGTGCACATAAAGCCCTAAATGTTTTGGATCTATGTTTTCCCTAATTATACATGAAATATTGTTTCCAAAGCATTAAGCCTACAACTAGCATGAAAATGACATAATCAACATAAAAGAGAGTTATAGAATTACCTCTTGGTTGTAGCTTGTAGAACTTCTTGAGTTTGGCCTTTAAGAACTTAGTGCCCCAAATGTTGCACCTCAAATGGAATCACAACACACCTAGAACAAAGGAGACTTTTGAGAGAGTATTTCTTGCACAAAAATCGGCTCATGGAACTCCAAGAACACTAGTGTGCCATTTTGGATGCTAAGGGGCTTCTTATATAGTGTGGCAAGATTAGGGTTACACCATGTAAACTCTAATGTGAATGACCTTTCATATTCCTTAGGCTCCATGGGTTTAAACCCCCATGGATCATCCATGGGTTGTAACATTGGTTTAGCCCAACCTAAATAATCATGGATTCTTGGCCCACACCATAAGAATGAATGATTTACCAATCAATGCCCATATATTTAATTAGTCTCTTTTGATCACAAAATTAATTCCAAATTAATTCTTGATCAATACTAATTAAATAATATGATTTCATATTAATATATTAGAACTTATAATATATTAACAAATCATAAATAACCTCTTCTCAAAAGTCCATCCTATCAAATTGTCCTGGTGATATGCAACCCAAATGGACCATGCTACTCTCGGGTCAAGTACATACCAATTATAGTTATGGGCTTAGACACCTAATCCAACAGTCTCCCACTTAGATAAGTCTAATAACTATTATTGCGAGTACGACTTGAAACCCGACTAGCAATCGTAGTTCTTAAAATCCGCTGTCGAACTCTGACCTAGTCAATGACGCGTCAATTGGATAAGGGATCATATATTCCTCCATTCTAGATATCGTATTCACTGAGACATGGATTGTAATCATTCTCTCTGTCCATCTGTTGTTTCCCGATTTCTGATTTATGACGACCGACTAATTGAACAAATCAAATCAGTCCAGGCTTGGCCAAGCACTTAGGGGTGTCATCACTAAATTATCGAGGGGCCCACAGATATCGCTTTTATCCACATGGGGTAAAAGGAACGGATAAACTTCGACCAAAATGTTTGCTTGTACTTACTCATCAAGTTACACACACCGATATGTTTTATAACACCAAGTTACTGGTGCGTTTACATATGTTAATGTGCAACCGACTTGCAACTACAACTCAGATGTCTCCGTTTGAAAAATATAAGATATTATCGTCTCACAATCACTCGTGATAAAATCCATGAAGCGATTCAGATGAGCGTGGGTTGAATCCAATACTCGAATCTTATTCCAAGAGCACTCATGAACATTGTAGCCAACTTGTGCTATGACTAAAACACCTCTACAGACCCATTCATGACTAGGGGTGTTCGTTTGGATGGATCGGTTTGATCCGATCCAATCAAGTGAATCCAAATTGATTTCGGTTTTCAAAACATGGATCCGAATAGTCCAAACTAAATTCCAATCCGATCCGAACCAATTACAATTCGGTTGGATCGGTTTTTATAATCCGGTTTACAAAAACCGAAACATTTTAAAACGACATATAATTATAATATTACCCAACTTTACACAAGAAGCAAAAAATAAATTATTTAGTTGTGATTTGAAATTTATAAACAACTAATAAGAAGATATATATTATAGTTAAATATTTTATAGACAGAAAACTTTTGAAAGAAAATGCATATTAATGTTTTTTTTATCGGGTGAAACGTTTTGAACCTATTTGAAAAAAATAAATTAGAAAATTAATAAATAATTATAGATATATATTATAAATAGATAAATTATAAATGTTTATTCGATTTTTTCGGACTATTCAGTTCTGATTTTATAAACCAAAACCAATCCGAAATCCAAAATAATAATTTGATTTTGTTGAAAACCCATCCAAAAATCCAAATATCTAAACCAAATAGTCAAATCCAAATTGTCCAATTGGATAATTTTGTTTTATCCGAATAGTGAACAGTCCTAGGTTTGAAGGCGGTGGAAAAGAAGAAGGTTTGGAGAGATGAATGAAAAAGGTTTGAAGGTCGCGTGGAAAGTAAAGAAGTTTGTTGGTATTTTATAGCAGTTGATTAATAGTTAAAACTTTGAAATTTTGAAAAAAAACGGTTATATTCTAAAAAATGAAGTACTATTTTGGAAGTGGTAAAAAAAGAAAAAAAAAACAAAAAAATACACACTCTCACTCATCTCCGGTTGCCTGGTTAACCCTCCCAACTAGGCATGCCGGGATGAGGGCGTGGTGTTTAACATCTACATTAAATCATTGGAATCTGTTATTATTTGTTGGTTTGGAGAAATGAAGACACATGGTACACAAACAATTCACTTGTTATCATAACAATTATGTTTATGTAACTTCTAAAAATCATTTAAATTTGTTTGTTTTCTTTTTCTTATTTCAGGTATTGTGATGGGTAGCGATTTTTCCAACCAAGTGTTTATCACGAATTTTATAATTTTAGTTGTTATTACCATCTTTGTTCAGTGAAACTGATTTTTGTGGGTTTTGCTGCTGCACATTAATATATATTAATTTGAGATGCATATTAGTTTTTTTGATAAAATGGCAGAACTACAAGATTTTTGAAAACTACCATTGCCATCTGCAACTGAACATGGTTCAATGTTCATGGTAAGCATTTGTTAGGGAAAGACACTAACCCGTGGTAGCATGCATTTCAACTTTATTGTGACCATTTTTTGAGCTTTTGCATACAACTTTATTCCCTAAAACAGAAACCTATAATCTCTGTTACGAGCTACATACAGAGAACGCATTACAAGCACAATGTTTATTATAGAAATGTTTTCAGTATTCATAAAAAAATTTGTTTGCTTGCACTAGACAAGTGAAAAATTTGTTCAACATTAAGCCATTCATTTGATTGTTTTTTTTCTTTCCCAGTGGGAGAGGATGGTAGCTTATCATATGATGTAAGTTTGACGATGATTATATATCAAGAAGAAAGCAAATATATATATATATATATATATATATATATATATATATATATATATATATATATATATATATATATATATTATTTTCCAGGATATTGTTGTTAAAATTCTGTAAATCGTATGCATTTTGTGTTACGAGGATACTTTGTCAATGTCCGTTAATTCATTCCATTTATTTGAATTTTCATACCTTGGTACTTAACAACAAGTATTAATGACTTATTTGCATTACATTTGAGTAACCAAACACGACAATCAAATGATAATAATGCATCCAATTACTTTATCCATTCCATTACTTAATTCATTTCATTCCATCCAACCAAACACACCCTGAAACTTCATAAGTTATCATCATTATTAACAATTAGTTTCCATTAAATTATTCACTTATTCATCAATGCCTCAAGAGCTTGAAGGGACATGTAATATATGAAATACTTTAAACTATCAAACTAGAATTAAGTTCTTAAATCTCACTATTCAGAATAACATAGTCAATGTATAATTGTTGGACCGTAGATTCGTCATTCCAAGATGCTTGTTCGTTTCACTTTCCAAAAATAAGTTGTATGTCATCTGTCTTCAATTTGTTATTTTTTTGTTTTTGGATTGCCAAATATGTGTCCATATGTCGACCGATAGAGATCTACTATGAGGGGGATTTGAAGAGCACCAAAAGTCGCAATCGGGACCGAAGATAATAAACAAATTGGAGCAAGCATCCATGGTCTTTTATGAGAAAAGACAATGAACCACGTTGCCCCAAAGGCCACCATCATGGCAGTTGTAGATAGCATCAAGGCACAAAGACCAACCATCAGTAGTCTTGGCAAAGTGAAGAGAAAATCTCTCTCATCAAAACTTCCTGTGAGGATCGACAAGAACATCAGTAATGCTGTGCTGGATGCAAATAGTGAGATTGAATCTGTTATTGCAAAGATCGTGAAAGCAATTTCTTTTGTAAACACGGGGATGCCTGTTTCTTGATTGCTTCCACCTGGAACCGTAATAGCTGCCGCAAACACAATTGTAGTAATTAGTGCTGCAGTGATGCTGCATGATTCTGCTACGGCCTTCATCCACTTTTCTGCTTCCTTCACCATATTTTCGTGCTCCCTTCTGAACACCTTATCTGGTGTCTCTTTGAAAGTATTTTCTTTTGTAGTGCAAGTGGGAAACACGAGCTTCTCAATTTCCTGTAAAATATAAAACAAAAAGTATGTTACTTCCCGCCCTTGCTACAATAATTGTAAAGAATTCATTTTGGATGTACGTGGCGCCAGTGAAGCTCTTTTTGTAGCTGTAATGCTGGGCCTCTTTTATGTCTGAGTTTCTGCAAAGAAGGTAATCTTCCAACCAGGTGCAACATATTGTTCTTAGAAGAATCTTCGATCATTCTGTAAACACTCTTACGCTCCCCAATGGTATAGATAAGGTTGTAGACTTTTTCTGAACGGTGTATAACTGCTAACTGTATAACGTCATACTCACTCTCATCTTTATATCGAACTGCTTTAGGAGATCTCATTAAAATCTCATCAACAACCTCATAAATGTTTTGACGTGCAGCCTCAAGAACAACTCTATGATACAGAGGATGAGCATCAGGGAATTCCAACTTCTCTATTTCATCACATACCAATTTTAGAACTTCTTTTGCTGCTTTTTGTTCCTTCATTTTCTTCTCGATACGCTTAATTAGTGGAACTGACAGTTGGGAAATAATTGGTTCAAAACAATCATCAAACTTGTATTATATAGAATTAGTTAATTATAGTTTAAACGCAACTGATATAAATTGAGTCTTTATATACCTACTCTCGTTGCAACCTTCCAGAAGAGGAAATAAAACACAAAGAATGGAAAATAAAGCATCAATATGAGTAGGCGAATCATGTAATAAATCCAACGAAGCATGGCTAATGGACCTGCATAAGCAGAAAACATTCATTTGTGATGTCAACTATATGATAAATTATGGGGTTGTATTTACAGGTTATATATCAGTAGCTCACCTTTCAATGTGAAGTATAGTAGCAGTTGTCTACTACCAAAGATCACGTCATCATGTACATCTTCTATTATACACGTCATGTCTTTGCAGTAGTATACTAATACTTTAAACGAGTCCCTGGCTCTCATGACTATCCTTTCACAAATATCACCCATATCTGAAAGAAAAAAAACCATAATAAAAGAAGAATAACAAAGAGATTATATATCTCTAGTATATTAGAAACTTACTTGGATATATAAGCATTTCCCAGTAACCCAACCCCATCGGAAAAGTGCTAGTTATTGCTAGAAGTATATTATCATTTTCCACAACAAATTCAGGAGACTTCTTGACTAACTGTGTTGCTAAGTCTGCAAGCATATTTTAAAAACTGTGAATATTTAAAGTAGTAAATCTTTGAAACATCGTATTTCTGTGATATATATCGGCTACGCACCATATTGCTTTGCAGTAACAGCATTAACAAGAAGGTTACCGCCTACTTTTACACCAGGGCTAACAGAATCCTCTAAAGGAAAAAACTTTTTCTTGGATTTTCCATCGACATCATTCGCAGCTTTCAACAAATATTCTATGGTGTCAAGATGCATATTTTCATAAGCTTTGTCCAAAGGTATTTCACCTTTATGGTCTGTAATTTCCAACAATCTTCTGTTTTTTTTTACCAAGAGCGATGCTGCTTTTGTGTTGCTAACGATTGCAGCTATGTGCAGGGCTGTGTTTCCATCAAAATTTCTCATTATTGGTAAGTTTACTACGTCTGTATACTCTAATATATTTCTGAGTATACGGTTACGACGTAATCCAACCGCTATATGAAGCATGGTGTTCCCATCACTGTCTATGTGCTCTGTGTCTGCGCCTTCACCGGATGATAGTTTAGACTCTACTTCCCTCCAATTTCCTTCGGAAATAGCTTGACGCAACTTCATGTTGCGTATGATCTTGTTTTTTCGATTTCGTTCTATGTCTTCATCGACTGTCGGATAAAATTGTGATATTCTCTTCTGATGAAACTTTATCTTCGATCTGTTTCTGCTTCCTGTTTCGATTGAGCTGAATCCATTTGAAAATTTCATTTAAATGACTATGTAACCATAACCGTTTATATATATATATATATATATATATATATATATATATATATATATATATATATATATATATATATATATATATATATATATCGATGGTGCTAAATAAACATTTTACACATACAATTGGTTAGATATTAAACTAATTACTAAATTAACAGAAACTTGTAGGCGTGTTTGTGTTGGCGAGAGTGAATATTGCATGAGATCAAACTATCTTTGGCTAGTATTGAGAAGATCAGATAAACATGGAAGTTATTGGGTGTTGTTACTGTCATATCCCTTCCTTGTATAGCTCCTTATTTTGTGTACAAATCCCTATATATGTAATCCCTCTGTAAAGAAAAATATACAGAAAAAACCCTTCATATGAATTTCTTGTGTTCATGGTATCGGAGCATACCGTTTGAAACTCTTTGAATCAAATCGAAAAATCACCCCTCGAAGAACAAGAACAATGATAGACAAAGACCACATCCCTCCTCAAGAACCTCGCCTGGTTGTTCAGGATGCTACCTTCCCGACTGGGATCATCCTCGATGACACAAATTATCAGTTGTGGTCTCAACCGATGGAGATGAGGATTAGAGCATGCAATAAACTGGGATTCCTAACCGGATCCTCCAAGAAGCCTGAATCCGGTGAAAAACAAATCGAAAGTTGGCTCATGGATAATAATAGGTTCAAGAGTTGGCTCATAGACTTGATGAGCCCCACCTTGATCCCGAGGTTTATCCGTTTGAAGACGGCGAAAGAATTTTGGGACGTGGTGGCAAACACGTTTTATGACGGGTCGGACGAAACTCAGCTGTTCGAACTGAATCGTAGGTCGTTCAGTACAAGACAGAATGGACGTACGACCAATCGCAGCATACTACAACGAATTGATAGGGATCTTTCAGGAGATCGATCCCCGGATAACGGTCGAGGAAGATGATGTGAGCCACGTAGTTTCGCCTAATAAAATATTAGGGCGTCTCCGTGTACACATCTTTCTTGTAGGGTTAGATGCATAATTTAACCAAGCACGAGGGGAGATCCTAAGAAAAGACCCACCCTTGGATCTTGAGGCATGCTATGCGTTCATACGAAAAGACCAGTCCCAAAGAAACACTATTGAAGACGTGAAGAATGAACATGATAGTCTTGTGAATCTCACAACTCGAAATCGCCCTCCAAAAGAAAAAAATTCCAACAACAAAAAAAAACTCTTTTGTGTGTACTCATTGTGGAGAAGAAGGGCACTCAAAACAGAAGTGTTATGAGATCATAGGTTACCCGGAGTGGTGGGATTTATCAAAGAAGCCACGAAGGAAGGTGGGACAAGCCTCTATGGCCACAACAAAGAATGATGAGGCAACCCCAATTGCTGCCTACGCTGAGTCATTCAACAACCATGGTATGTCAACTACAACTAAACATGTGATTAGTGAATGGATTATTGATACAGGTGCGATGGATCACATAACAAATGATCTGTCTAAGCTGGCATTAAAAACCCGGCCTAAGCAAAACATCGAGAAAACAACAAATGGGGGCTTAGCAAAAGTAACATGTGAAGGTTCTGCTCAAGTGTCAAATTCCATGAATCTTGACACTATCCTAGTTGTTCCATCCTTGTCATCGAATCTATTATCTATCAGTCAGATCATAGATCAACTTAACTGTTATGTAACTTGTTGGCCAAAAAAATGTGTGTTTCAGGACATTATGACGAATCAGACTCTTGGCTATGGTATTAGGAAAGGCAAGTTGTACTATCTTGAAGAAGAAAGACCTGATGAAGCGTACAACATGGAAGAAGGAAGTTCTTTATATTGGTTATGGCATCGTAGATTAGGGCATTTGTCGTTTGGTTATTTAAAAAAACTGAAACCCGAATTATTTTTGAATAACAAATAGTTTGATTCTAATTGTGATGTGTGTGAAATGGCCAAAAGCCATCGGATTTCATATCCCCAAAGTGAGAATAAAACTACTATTCCCCTCATGAAGATCCACTCCGATGTGTGGGGTCCGGAAAGAATAGCTACTCTGAATCGGTATCGGTTTTTTGTTACTTTCATTGATGAATTCTCACGGATGATTTGGATTTCACTATTAAAACATAAAAACGAAGTAATACATGCCTTTTAAGAACTATACAAGTTAATAAAATCTCAATACAAGTGTCAGATAAAGATCCTTCAATCTGATAATGGAGGAGAGTATATGAACCATGACATGGAAGTATTTTGCATGGATAACAGACACCAAACATCATGTTCAAACACGCCTCAACAAAACGAACTCTCGGAAAGGAGAAACAAACAAATACCGGAAATCGTGTGAGCCTCTTTATTTGACATGAAGATTCCACGCCAATATTGGGGAGAAGCGGTAAGAAATGTTGCATATTTGATGAATAGAACTCCGTCAAGAGTTATAGAGTTTAAAACTCCATTACAACTATTACACGAAAAACTAGATATTCCGATTGGGTCTAATCTCGAACCACGCGTGTCTAGGTGTGCAACATATGTACACTCTAATACTGGAAAACTAGAACCACTGGCAATATAGTGTATGTTTTCTAGGGTACGCTGACTTCAAAAAGGGGTACCGATGTTACGACCCGAAAGAAAAGAAAATGTATGTTACTCGTGATGTTAATTTCCATGAGAACACCTCCTATTTTACTCATGAATATTCCCCTCAGGGGGAGAGGTCGGATGAGGGTAACATGCACGATATTAGGCTAGATGAAGTAATAGATGGACTCGAAGAAGATGAAGATGGGCCAAAAACGAATGAAGATGAGCCAGAAATTACTTATGAGCAACCTGATAATTTCGAGCAAGATAGTACAACCAGCCCAAGCCCAACCTATGCCGAGTCGGATCCAACGTCATCACAAGGTACATTAACTAACGAAAACTCTAACAGTTCTCATGAGAATGTCGATGTACAGTTTAATCCAGGCACGAGATATCCTGTAAGAAAAAATAGAGGGATACCACTGAGGCAATACCAACCGGATCTTACGTCAAAATCGAAGTACCCGATCAATAACTACGTGTCCACAGATAAGTTGGCTGAACCACAACGGCACATGGTGGAGGAGTTAGCCGCTGTAGTCATCCCAAAAACCATACAAGAAGCTACGAGAGATCCAAAGTGGAAAAAGGTTGTATATGAAGAGTTAGATGCATTAAAACGGAATCAAACGTGGGATGAAATAGTACTCCTCCAGGAAAGAGAACCGTAGGGTGCAGATGGGTCTTCACGGTAAAACTAGAGTCAAATGGAAAGATAGACAGGTATAAGGCTAGACTAGTCGCGAAGGGCTATACACAGAAGTACGGTATAGACTATGAGGATACTTTTGCACCAGTGGCGAAAATAAATACTATTAGAATCCTAGTGTCAATTCCTGCAAATAGGGACCGGCCACTTAAACAATTCGAAGTAAAAAACTCTTTTTAAATGGCTACTTAGAAGAAGAAGTGTTCATGGAATCACCACCTAGAATGAATTATGGTGACAAAGTATGCAAGTTGAATAAGGCGCTGTACGGACTAAAACAATCCCCGAGAGCGTGGTTTGGAAGGTTTTCAAGGTTCATGAATGTCACACCCCACTAAAGCGGAAACACGAGGCGTGGCAGTATAAAGGGTTTTATAGCAAAAGTTAAAAGACAACACCAACCATGGTATTAAAAATCATTACAAATTTACAATGGGTTTGAACAACTTTTAAAAGAAATTACAATGAAAATTGAAATGCGACACATGCGAATGCTCCTAAAAGTAATGTGTCCCTAAGTGCCACTTACTCGATGAATCCTGAAAAAACATGTAAAACGAGCGTCAACTATAAAAATAGTTGGTGAGTGCTCACAAATTAAAAATAATAATGGTTTCAAGAATCGAAATAAAAGTTTTGATAGAAGTTTCCATAAATAAAAGTATATTGTTAAAATGAGTAAATAAGTTTGTATAAACAAAGTCCGTTGTCATCATGAGAAATAAATTATGTTGCCCAAATGAGAAGCAACGTTCATATTCTCATGGGAAATAAAGTTCATTACTCAAAGGAGTAAACAGTTTCATTGCTAAAACATGTATATAAGTTTCCAGTAATAAAAGTTTGTTGTTGTAATGAGAAACAAAGTTCATTGCTATAATGAGAAACAATGTTCATTGCTATAATTAATAAACAAGTTTATTGCCATAATAAATAACAAGTTTGTATGTGTATGAGCAAACAATGAGTTCCCAACCAAGCCTATGACTGATGCCCTATCAAGATCTATGCTTATCGTTCCATAGATTATATGGTATCATGCACTCCAGCGATCGGGCGAGTGAGGAGTTGTCAATTTCTAATAGCGCTATCCACAATGACCATTGGCTCAAAGAGTTAATGGTTGGAGTAATGTATAAGGGAAGAGACTTAAGACGATAAGTTCTCATGTTCCGTGTTGCATAGACATACAGAGCAGACTATAGCAAATTATAGCAAAATATAGCAATCGCGTTTGATACGAATCAATTTAAATACAACGAACAATAAATAGTTTTTCGGACATGCTTTTCCACCCCAAAACATAAAAACCGAAAATAGGGGAGTGCGTGAATACTCACAATTTAATTGGAAACATTCATAAGCTTTGTCCAAAGGTATTTCACCTTTATGGTCTGGAATTTCCAACAATCTTCTGTTTTTTTACCAAGAGTGCTGCTGCTTTTGTGTTGCCAACGATTGCAGTTGTGTGCAGGGTTGTGTTTCCATCAAAATTTCTCATTATTGGTAAGTTTAGTTCGTCTGTAAACTCTAATATTTCTCTAGATATACGGTTACGACGTAATCCAACCGCTATATGAAGCATGGTGTTCCCATCACTGTCTATTTGCTCTGTGTCTGCGGTTTTACCCGATGATAGTTTGGACTCTACTTCCCTCCAATTTCCTTCCGCAATAGCTTGACGCAACTTCCTGTTGCGTATGATCTTGTTTTTTCCTTTTTGTTTTATGCCTTCCTCGACTGTTTGTATTTCAGATGAAATTGTGATATTCCCTTCTGATGAAACCTTATCTTCGATATGTTTCTGCTTCCTGTTTTGACTGAGCTGGATCCATTTTAAAATTTCATTTAAATGACTATGTAACCATAACTGTTTATATATATATATATATATATATATATATATATATATATATATATATATATATATATATATAGGGACGGTTCACTTGAGATTAAAAAAAATACAGATCTTGAAATTCAACCTTAGCCACATATTTCTCATTTGCTGCTCTAACGCTCCAGCGTACCGGCAGCAACAGAGTATGCCTAATCATAAATGATTATATGGCAGAGAGGTATAATCATATATATTATAAATGTTTATACATATATGCCTAATCATAAATGATTATACATACATGTCTACTCACTGATTGAGTAATCATATATGATTATGATAGTTGGTGACAAAAGAGGTTGTGGTGAGCAGTGGCGGACACAGAACATTTGAAAAGGTGTGTCACTCATATACGAAGGTGGTACACCTATTAGGATTTTTTTTTTACACTATGGGCCGGAATCGGAGCAGGGGCCGGGACCCCAAATACTCTACACAGTGGTGGGGTCGACTGATGTCAGAGGTGGTGGAAGTGGTGGTGGCGGTGGCGGTTATGGTGTGTGTGTGTGTGGGGGGGGGGGGGGGGGGGGGGGATGGTGGAGGAGGATAAAGAACGGGCAGCACTATATAATAATTTATGATTATATATGACATGCCGTGCCGGATGCCGGAGGGTTAGAGCGGCAGATGTGAAACATGTGGTTGAGATTGAATGTCAAGATATCTATTTTATTTCTAATCTCAACGGAACCTTATTCAACGACCCAGAAAGTGTTTAAATAGTAGGTCAAGTGAGATAATCTTTTATTGTTAGATAATCTCTATATGTACATGCAGTGATAATTATTGGATATGTTTAGCAGATATATCGAAAGGTACCAAAAGTTCTTCAGAAATTGGAATGGCGGTTGTATCATAGAATGATTTCAGTTTCTCACAGACATCTTTGGCGGAATCATAATCAAGATCAACAACAGTGCCAAGGAGCTCTTCGCTAATTGAATCCAAGATCCAACCTTTGACAAGAATATTATATTGTTTCTCGATCTCTGGGCTCAAACCTGTTGGACGGGTAAATGTTGCATCTACAATGCCATACAGATTGTAAGTCTCCATGAGGGAAAACATCTGTGTCTTCCACTGATGGTAATTGTGGTCGCTGGAAAGCTTCACAGAGACAAAGTTAGAAACATTAGTATTTGATGCATATAAGTACTTTAGGTCTTCTTGTATTTGTGCTAAAGCATGTGGAGGAGGAGGATGGATTGATGAGCTTGCCATCTGAATGAAGAATAGATCTGAATGAATGCATGCAGTTAACATCTTCATGGTTCATATAAAGTTTAAACAGGTTTATATTCTATTTGATACTTGAATTGTTTAGTCTCCGCTTTATCTTTTTACACTCACGTTGTGTTTGCCAGAAGATATTCCTACCAAGATAAGAGCATTAAAGATGAATAAAGTACGAATTTTTTTTTAAAGGGCAGCTATCCTACTCCTAGTATCTTTTTTTAATTACTTTATTCTAGTGAATCTTGTCAATACTAGGATTGGGCAGGTGGGGGTTATGTCAGTGGCGTGGAAAACGTGTACTGCATATGTATTTCATTTGGGTCCTGATATTTCGGGTTATCATTTTTATCCTTCAACTCATTGGCGGATTCAGAATTAAAGTAAGGGGTATCCCGACAAAAAAAATCGCGTAATCCACAACAAAAAAAAAATCTGAAAAAAATTACACTAGTAAAATTTTTTTGAGGTGTAACTTGGGCTACTACGGGATACATACTAGATCCGCCATTGTCCGTAACTAATCTGTAGGTATAATTTACACATGAGCATTTATGTTACAGGCCTTTTTCCGTAGAAGTTATGTAGGTATCGACTTATACCACCGAATACGGATTGTGTTGTAGGTATTGACCTTGTTTTCCAGTGGTGTCTAGTAGTGCTAGTTAGTTTTCAACGTTAGTATAATTGAATGTTAATCCAATTTCACTAATGATCTGAATTGGTTACTAAATAGCTAGTTTAGGGCATATTGGTCGCTCGAAGTTTCATTTACTTTTTCACTTAAGAGAAACTTTAGGTGAAATTGGTTTTCTGTATGGCATATGTGGTGGTCATGAGCAATTGTTGATAGTTAAATATTAATCGGTTTTGATGAGGTGTATTATTAATTATGTTATTATTAATATTATTATTATCATAATAATTTTTTTATTTTATTATTATTGTTTCACTACTAGAAACATGGGTTTTAGCGACGGAAAAATCCGTCGCTATTCCGTCGCTAAATGTTGTTTGCGATGGATCAGCGACGGATTCACTCCATAGGTAATAAAAAGGTGGCTAATTTCTCAGCGAGGGTTTTAGCGACGGATCGGTTTTTCCTTGCGACAAAGGTAGCGACAGAATATCCGTCCCTAAATGTCACTCAATGCATTCCGTCGCTGTTCTGTCGCAAATTTCCATGAACAAATTTTTTTTCCGTAGCTAATCCCTTGCAAAATTCATATACTATTTTTTTCCGTCGCTGATCTATCGCAAACTTTAGACATGATTTTTTTCCATCGCTAATCCCTTGCAAAATTCATACATTAAATTTTTTTCCTTTCCGCCGCTGATCCGTCGCACACTTTAGACATGATTTTTTTCCGTAGCTAATCCCTCGCAAAATTCATGCATTAAAATACTTTTTATTTTCTCACCAAGAACTTGTAATATCATTTTTTTTATTATGATTCTAAAAGAAAAAATACTACAATCATCAAATTATTATACTAAAGAACATCAAATAATGATACAACCAAACATTACAATACCAAAACTATCAAAGTTTACCAAAGTATCATTCAACAAATATCCAAAAACAAAACTATCCACATAACATCAAACTCCCAACGGTTTAACTTCAAAATAACATTTTAGCACCAAGAAATCCAAAGTATGCAAAAGAGGTACAAACAGAAAAAAGTTTAACCTTCAAAATAACATTTTAGCTTCTCTCTTCATTTCATGTCCATCCAATCATCTTCGGTTCTCATTCCTATAAAACATTATTCAAAACAATCAAAAACATCAAATACAAAAGGTTAACAAGTCATTCAAAAACATCAAATACTAATGGTTAACATCATATTACCTCTAATTTTCAATTTCCCATCATATTTTGCAAGGCTGCATACATCTTCTCCATTGCTTCATATTTTGCATCAATTTGTTGTTGTTTGGCATCTATTGCTGCAGCTTTGGCATCCATTTCCTCACGCATTTGTTGATGTTTAGCTTCCATTTCTGCAGCTTTAGCATCCATTTCGCCACGCATCTCGTTTCGTACACGTTCATAGACAACCTAAAGTACAATACCATGATAGGAAACTTTGTAAGTACAATACCATGATAGGAAACTTTGTAAGTATAATGCCATGATAGGAAACTTTGTAAGTACAATGCCATGATAGGAAACTTTGTAAGTACAATGCCATGATAGGAAACTTTGTAAGTACAATACCATGATAGGAAACTTTGTAAGTACAATGCCATGATAGGAACCTTTGTAAGTACAATGCCATGATAGGAAACTTTGTAAGTACAATGCCATGATAGGAAAATTAGTAAGTACAATGCTATGATAGGAAATTTTTATAAAGTATAAAATTAAACGAACCTCTTGGGATGTTATTGTACTAGATGTTCCTTCCAAAAAGCTCGCTAGATCAGACACAGATCCGAATCCATATATTTTTCCTTTCTTGACTCCTCCGGAAACATCACACCATGTTTCATTATCCAAGAGGGGGTGGCAACTAGTATCATCACCAAACTTAGCCACCATAGCACTTTCATAAGCCTCCTATTATTGCAAAAAAAATGAAAAAATAGAAACATGAAATAAGGAATGGAATGGTTCATTCCATTCCATTAAATTCATAATCAAGGAATGGAATGAACCACTTCATAAGCCTCCTATTAATTAATACTCAAACCTTGCATAAAGTTGATTACTACTTACAAAACACTTAATTACAACTAGGTAGAGGATCAAACATTTAGAGATAATAATTTGTTTCTTTTCTTTTGTAAGTTGATTACTACTTACGAAAGATTTGTTTTCTGTCAATTAGTTGCTTTAACAAAGTCATTAACCCGAGTAGCAGGAAGTTTTGTTTCCTACAAAAGAATTGAAAATACCTTAACTTTAGCTGCCTTTGGTGTAATGTACTCTTGAGTAGACCGTTTAGTGTGCAACCTTGCATAAAGTTCAACTCCTGTAGGAGGGCGTTTAAGCATTGCTTGCTACAAAATCCATTAGTAATACATTAAAAAACAAAACAAAAACTCAACAGTCTAAGTGGAAACTAAGGTGAGATGCAAACATCTTACCATTCTTTTCTTATGTTGACGAATAGATATAGAACCCCCGGTATGTTTGGAAACAGTCTAAGTGGAAACTAAGGTGAGATGCAAACATCTACGCGTAACAACCTTGAACATATTACACGAAAGAATGTACACAACTCTGTAATTGCATCCCATGTTGAATTTGGCACCATACCTCTTAGAGAAATAGGCAACAATCTTTGAAGAAATACATGGCACTCGTGACTCTTGAATTTGTAAAAGCTATTATCATCTACATTAACGCACCCCCCCCCCAAGTTTGAGGCGTATCCGTCCGGGAATTTAAGTTTAATCAACCATTGGCATATTTTAGCTACTTGTTCTTTGCTCAAAGCAAACGATGCTCTCTTTTTCATATCCTTATTTCCCTTCTTCCATGTATGCCATTGCACTCGATTGCAATACATTTCTATATCTTTTCTTGCATTCATGTTGTCTTTGCTTTTTGGAGTGTCCATCACGGTGTTGAAAAGATTTTCAAACACATTTGTCTCAATGTGCATGGGATCAAGGTTGTGTCGTATTAACAACTTCCGCCAATATGGTAGCTCCCAAAAGATGCTCCTCTTAACCCAATTATGAGTAATCCCGAAACCAGGCAATTTTGCATTCTTCGCTCTAAAAGGTTTGCCTTCATAAACAGTTGGAAAGTGTCGTACTTGCTCCCAAATCTGATCACCGGTTAATATTGGTGGGGGGCTAGATCGCTCAACCTTATTAGCCAGAAATCCTGTTTTGTCACCCTATATGTGTGTTGTTCAGTTAAAAATTTTCGATGGCAGTCAAACCAACATGGTTTACTACCATGGTGTAACCGAAATGACCCCGACTCACCCATACAATACGGACATGCTAACTTGCCATGTGTGCTCCATCCCGATAACATTGCATAAGCAGGAAAGTCACTAACTGTCCAAAGAAGTATAGCTTTCATTGTGAAATTGCATTTAGTCGAAGTATCATAAGTCACAACACCGTCTGTATATAGCATCTTTAACTCGTCAATTAGCGGCCTAAGAAACACATCTATATTTTGACCTGGGCTCTTTTTTCCAGGAATAACTATGCTTCATTGAACATATGGTTCTTTTAAGCACATCCAAGGAGGCAAGTTATAAATTGAAAGGAAAATAGGCCAACATGAATACGGGGTTGTATTTGAGTTATTTGGACTGAACCCATCGGTGCATAGCCCAAGGCGAACATTCCGTGGTTCACTTGAAAATTCTGGATGCATTGAGTCGAAATGCTTCCACGCCTCACCATCACTTGGATGGACCATCAAACCCGGTTCGGTCTGATGTTCATAGTGCCATGTCATTTGCTTTTCCGTCTTTTTTGTTAAATACAACCTTTGGAGTGTAGGAGCAATCGGCAAGTACCTCATAACCAGATAAGGCAGTCTGCCACTCTTGTACCGATCATGATCACACACTCGACACTTAGTCAAATCAGAATCTGCCCCATAGAATATCATGCAATGGTTTTTGCAAGCATGAATCTTTTTTTTCTGGGAGTCTAATTATTTTCAAAAGCTTCTTCGTCTCATAGAAGTTCTCAACTAGTTTCTCACCTTTGGGTAGCATCCGCTTAATTATAGGAAGTATGTGATCATAGGCAGCCTCAGATATATTGTATTCTGACTTCCAATGCAACAACTCTATTGCAGCTTGTAATTTTGAATAATTTTCACATCCATCCGACAAAGGTTCATCAGCGTCTTCTAACATCTCGTAGAACCCCTTGGCAGTTGGATTCGGGAGTTCCTCCATTACATCCATCAACATTTGTGTACACTCATTAACATCATCATCATCATCATCTTCCATCGGATCCTGCATCGGATTAGAAGATTCTTCCTCATGCTGAGATATCGTATTTCTTTCACCATGTACCCACCAAGTTGTGTAATTAGGAGTGAAACCGTTTTGTAACAAGTGAAGCTCTACATCACCTCTTGTTTTATAATACATGTTCTTGCATTTAAAACAAGGACATCTAATATAATCCCCATCAACAGTTGCTTCATTAGAAAAAGCAACATCCAGAAATCCTTTGACGGATGCATGATATGTTGTGCTAAGATACCCATGATCTAACCTTTTGTACATCCAATCTCTATCACTACGTGTTGACATAATGACTAGCTACAACAAAATATATAACTACTATTCAGAACTTAGATAGAGATTAGATAAAAACTAGCTACAACCAAGTAAGAAGAAGTGGATGACAATAAATCCTTTGGAATAAACAAGAACCGGAAGGGAGAGAAAGTAATCAAATAAATTCTAAGTGATAGACATATAGCAAAGAATAAGATAGAGCTTCAATATGTTTACACAAGTGACTATGTTATATAATCTATTAATAAAAAAATGAAGTCATTAACATTTCAAAGTATATTCATTGTGCTTATTGTATTGTGGAGGTAAATGTTGGAGATGGATAATATTTATTCTTGTAATTTTAGTTATTTGTCATATGACTATCTTAATCATGCATATAGATTGGGTATAGATACTAAATGTTGTAATCAATCTTCATAATTACAACCAAGCCATGTTTTTCTTTTATTTTTGTTTTCCTAAATGTTGAACATGTCAATAGGCTGAATCAAAATAGATATGATGAGACAAGAGACTTGAATCAAGAAAAAGACATAAGAGAGACAAAAGAAGGTCAAAAGATGGTTGACTATCTAAAAGTGTGATTTGTGATTGGTTTCAACAAAGCGTTATATAGTTCTTAACATCATATTATTAAAATAATTTAAATATTTAAGTTTTAAATATGTGGCTATATATGAAGGCTCTATGTATAGAGAATTTGAGCTGGCACCGCCCTTGGGGCCAAAGATGGCTGAGCCTGACTGTTGATTTGCAATCTTATTTCACTTTGTTTGATTTTCGACCACTCGGTAATTTCCCATTTTAATACATGAATGGTCCTTATGGTCCTTCTACAGTGCTGAAAGAGAAGCCGAAAAGAATGAAGAACAATAGGGAAATCAAAGGTGAAGATGCCAAGGACAGAAAGAACAAGGCTAAGAGAGTTAGGGACAAGAGGGCCACAAGTGTACAAATGGTATAAAAGAAGAAAATTAACTAAATGAAGTCATTAACATTTCAAATTTTGTTTATTTTATTTAAGTTTCATCGGAAGACAGATTGGCAGCTGTTTTTGTAGTTAGTTTTACTACAGCAGGTAATGTGGTTTGCTGGTTTCAGTGTTAATTTAATTTACCAAGAATTTTTTTTTTTTTGTTGTTACAGATGATGGTGAAAGTGATGAAGAAGTTGTTCTTGTGAGTCAGAGTGGTACAGTCAACCGGATAAAAGTCAGGGATATTTCTATCCAGTCACGCTACGCAAGGTAACTAAGCGTCTCTGTTTTGTGTAATTTGACTTAATGAGGAAAAGGGTAAAATGGTCATTTACTCACGTTCAGACGGTTCATCCAGTCCATATGATATACACATAGACAAAAGAGTAAAATGGTAATCTACTCGCATTCAGACAGTTCATTCAGTCGATAAGTAAATACACAAAACAAGAAGGGTAAAATGGTGATTTACTCACATTAAGTCCATATGAATTAGACAAACAGAAGGGTATAGTGGTCATTTAACACAAATGTTCTAAAAAACATTATTAAGTTAAGTTGATGTTTGTAATGGTGTACCTGTCTCAGGGGAGTGATATTGATGAGGCTTGAGCATGCTGGGAAGATCCAATCAGCTTCATTGATATCGGCTGCAGAAATAGATGTGGAGGAGGAAGTTGAAGTTGAAGCTACTGTGGCATAAAAAATTTAACCATGAGTCCATGATTCATGGTTAGATCACGAGTGAAGTGATATCAGTTAACCATGGTTAGATTTTATTAGTGATGTCATATCTATGCATGAAGGAGACATGGGGAAAAGCTACTTAACTCAATTGGAAACTTGAAGCTCCTGTAAATTTCATGCAAAGGAGACATGGTTAGATTTTATTAGTGATTGTATTTCGTAGATTTTAAATTTTGTAAAATGCTGGCTTTTGGTGTAGAGTGATGTGTGCATTGGATTATTTTGGGAAGCAACAAAAGTATTAGTAAGTGAAATAAAGAATCATAAACTGGAAGAAACTGGATGCATTGATAACTTTGACAAATGTTGGACGGATATGCCCCTACTGGACTCACCTGCATCCAGCCCAAATGGCTCATTTGACCTCTTTCAGGGGTTTACTTATGTCAAGCCTGCAGTCTCTTTTCTTCACAGACAAAGCCCAGCATGCTAATGGTACTCTACTTATTTGTTCTAAAAAACTTGTATTTCTGATTTCAATTTTAGTGTTTTTAATTACAATTTTATTTGTGATATGCTTAGTCTCTATGGTTATTCATGGATAATTTAAATTTTCAATGCATGATTGTATGAAATTCGATCAAGACATAATTTTGAGTTTTTGACTAGTTCCGACTGTATTTTGTAAAATGTTATTCATATGGTTATTCAGGTCTTTATTTGTTTATTGTTGCATCCTTCTTTTCTTCTTATTACAACATCTAATTCTCAAACTATCATCTAATTCTCAATTAACCTGTTAAATTCAACTAGCATAAAAAAGATATAAAAATTCAGTGTCTATTCTTATATGAAGGCACCAAAAGATATAAAAAAACATAACAGAGTAGAAGGTACCTTGATAATCTCTACGCCACTTTCACCAGGAAAAAGAGGCTGTAAATGTCCAAAACTCATAAAGATCAGCAAAAGCTTTTTAAAAGTTGCAACTTTAAAAAATTATAAGCCACAAGAGCACACAGAGAAAAAAGGAACTGAAAGTTAAAATGATTCTAAAAGTAATTACAAAAATGGTCGATATGGTTTCTTATTTTTACTGTGTTTAGTTCCAGAATCAAAAGTTTTTCCACTTTAGTCCTTATTTCAAGGTTTCACATGATCACATCAATTATGGTCCCTGATTCCTAAAACTAAGAGAATATACAAAATAAAACTAAGAGAGATATACATGATTTTAGTTTGGTAAAATGGGCAACCCCATTCCTAACAGACATAATGAAGCTAAAGAAGATAATGGACAAAATTACCCCTCTTCACGGTAACGCTCATTGCCATCTCGACGATTCACGGACCCACGACCTCTTCCCCGGCCACGTCCAAAGCCATTCCGACTTGAGCCTCCGTTATCACAATGCTTACATACGTGCGGTTTTTCTTCACTAGCCAAAAGTAAACCGCCTTGAATGCCTTCGGTTTTCTCCGTCCCTTTTAAACGCTCCTCGTAAGCCTTTAGTCTTCCAACGGCTTCATCGAAAAGCATTGACTCCAAATCAAAACATTGCTCGATTGAAGCCACAATTTGGATAAATGACTTAGGCATTGAATCAAGCAATCTTTTCACCAAATCAACTTCTTCAGCTCGTAACCGAGAGATCTTGCTTTTGAGGCTAGACCAGTCAATTTTGACACAAACTCATCCACTGTTTCGCCATCATTCATACGCAAGCTTTCAAGCTCCCTCTTCAATGTTGCAAGCTGAGCCGCTCTCACCCGATCCACACCCAAATAGCGAGTCTTCAATCCATCCCACACCTGTTTTGGATCGGTGTAATCAGCCATTTGCAAGACCATGTCTTCCGGTATAGCTTGAAACAAGAAAGCAAGAGCTTGTTTCTTCTTCTTTGGATCCGAATCTTCATGCAATTGTCTCGGTTCCACTGTTTCCCATATACCATGAGCATCCATCATTGATTTGATTTTGACTGCCCACACCGGATAATTCGTCGAGGTCAAGATCGGAACTTGGTATGACATCGAACTTCCTTCTCTAGGTACCAAGGCCATTTTTTACTGTGAGTTGTGACAGCACCAACCTTTTCCGATCAAATCTGTCTTGAGACTCCTCTTCCACCAGTCAAGAAAACCAAACGCCTGTTTCTTCTGTTTTCTTTACCCGCAAACAAGCCAAACCAAAAACCCCACCCGTTCTGATTTTTTCTGCTTGTCTTTCCGCTTCTGGTTAGGCTTCTAGAACAGATTTGATCAAGGAAGGATGTTGCACCCTTTTTTTTGCAATCAAGAACCACTCAAACCCTCAACCGAGCCTGGGGCTCTGATACCAAATGTTGGTTGGAAAGCCTCAAATCTCACACTCTAAACTTTCATATATAATGAACTTGGAGAAGAGAACAAAAGACTTTCAAATATGAAGTATAAATGGTGTACTTTAAAGTTGCAGAAAAGGTAGACACTGAAGACTTCCTTTATTCATTAACTCTAAAGGCTTTAAATAGCCTACCGACTACAACGTGCAACACAAAAGTAGGAATAAAAGACTCCTATTTTTACTACACCTAAAGACCCACTCTCTAACGTATACCTCCTTGCAAATCGGTCAAAGGAGTATACCCATTCTAAACTAATAAAATCAATAACTAAAGACATAAAACTTAAACTAAATTTTCTTTATTCCAATACCCAACTGCATGTCACGTGAATATGGTAAATGAGCCAATTAATTCCAACAGCCACCTCCTAAATATGAAAGAGAATTGGGGAAAACCTAAAAATGTAAGGGTTTCTGAATCCTTAAATTCTCATGAACTGGAAGACAAACTATGATGAATCAAGCCCTAACTCAAGTTCTAATTCTAAGTGTCTATTCTTATATAGATGCAATCGATGGTAGACCTGAAACTAACTTGCAGATAATGAAGAAGGCATTTCATATGGCTACGAAACACAGTAACCAGAAAGTTTCAAGGTAAATTAAACCCTAACAAAGTATATTGTGAAATTGAACTAAAACTAACCTAAGAGGGATGAGATTTACCTGAATCGGAGGTTAACGAAGAATACTTTCAAATTTAAAGATATGGAGGTTGCCGGAATCGGGTGAGTAGCGTCGTCATCTGTTCGAACAGAGATGGTGAGATAAAGCAGAAGCTAATTTCACTTAGTCAAGAGTGATAAAGCTGGAGGGAAGTAAAGTTACACTGCCTTCGTGAAGATGGAACTGGGTGTGCCAATTTCAGCGAGAGAAAAAAGAAAACGTGCGCACCCCAAATAAAGTTTTCGTCGTCGTTCTCTCGCTAAACCCTAGCTAAGTTTCTGTCGTCGTTCTCTC